TCTCTCTCTCTCTCTCTCTCTCTCTCTCTCTCTCTCTCTCTCTCTGTCTATCTAACACATTATCTGAGCTTATTCTTCAACAGAACATGGAATGAAACATTGAATAAATAATATGTTGTTCTCCTAGAACAATGCAATCATTTTATCCGTTTTAAAAACTTTGAGGAAGTGGAGCATAAATAAGATGAAGTGAACCAGAAATAAAAGGATAAATAACTTTAAAGTTTAGATTTCGTAATGACAGCCTCTGTGACGTCATGTGACCCCCACCCCCTCCGCCTCCCCCCTCCTCCCCGTTGTTAGAGGAGACACAGCTTGTCCTCCTCTCTCCTTGTTTTCTGTCCCGGACACCTTCAAACCTCCAAACACAGCGGACAATCCGAGCGAGATCATGCGGGCCGCAGCGCTGGCTCTGTTTGCCGCAGTGTTGTCCGGGTCGCGGGCGGAGGTGATCGATGACATCCTGAGCAGCCTCACACGGGGAGCATCCTTCCTGGAGCGGCAACACGAGCACATCAACCTGGACGGGGTGGTCGGGTTCCTCATGCTGCAGGGTACGTAAACACGTCCCGGGCTGCAGGCTGCAGAAGGAGACTTTCTCCTCTCGGCTGCAGGAAACATCTGGAAAATATCTGCAGTTTGTTTTTGTCAGGGGTTCAGATAAAGTGGTTCACTACTACTACTAATACAACTAGTCACTGGTGAAGTGGATCGACCCTGATTATTATGGGACGTTTTAAAGGGGAATTACTTAAAGTTAAAGAAGCTCAAACCAAACAGACAGTCCCTTATTTTAGTTTTTAAGGTTTAGTGGGACACTGAATGCTTTTTCTATTAGTTTACTCCGAATGCTGCTATTACAAAAATGTGTATTATTATTGTTATTATTTTAACATAGAGGAAAAGTCAGAGGATTACCAAAGTCAACAGGATTCATCCTCTGGGGAACATGAATGTCCGAACAAAATGTCCATGTCAATCCATCTCATGGTTGGAGAGAAATTTCACTCTAAACCACAATCTTGAACCTCATGGTGGTGCTAGATGAAAAGTCAGAGGATCACCAAAGACACCAAGAGTCAACCTCTGAGGATCATGATTTTTTTCACAAAGTTTCCAGTCAATCCATCTCATAGTTGTAGAGATATTTCAGTCTAAACCTCAACCATGGAGCTCATGGTGGTGCAAGAGGAAAAGTAGGGTTCATCCTCTGGGGAACCTCTCACACAAATTAACTTTGTTTGTGTAACGAATGAGTTTCCTCTGATTCTGATGTTATTTTTTTGCGTCCCAGCTGAGCTGAAGGAGGCTGTTCGGACGTGGCCTCACAGCGACCCGGTCAGCTGGGCTCAGAGAACCACCGCCGTCGCTCTGGTCAGACGTCTGGACCAAAGCTTCAACAAGGCCGTCGCCGCGCTGCAGCAGAACGACCCCAAATACTACAGAGGTGAGGGGGGGAAAGACTTCATTACCCAGAGGCCCTGTGGTGTAAAGTCGGAACAGTAAACAAACCCTTTAATGCAACCGAATGATCAGAACTCTACAAGTACAACACCTTTAACTAACTACGTGACATACTTTTACTTATGTTTTTGTACCTGTAGTGGGGTATTTTCACAGTGTGGTATTAGTACTTTGACTGCAGTAAAGGATCTGAATACTTCTTCCTGCAATGACTGTATTTTATGGAATCAGATGAACTCCTAATGACTACTCCCGTCCTCACTCAGAGTTCGAGCCCCTGCTGTCGTGGAGCTTCTGGTTGGTTCCTCAGGAGTGGAGCTCCACGGATCGCAGCCTGGTGTATCCCTCCACCATGACCACCGAGTGCTACGACGAGCAGCTCAGTGACAAATGTCTGACGCTGCTGCTGGGAACCTGGTACGATATCACATGTCAACACAGAGAAGGACACACACACACACACACACACACACACACACGCACGCACGCACGCACGCACACACACACGCACACACGACTTCATTTCACCACCAGAAATCTCAGAGAGATGGAGGGAGGTGACCCAGACAGAGGTTCATGACCCGTGTGACACAGTCAAAGTCTGTCTGTCTGTAGTGGCCATTTATCCGAAAAAAATCAAACTTGAGGCACAACGAGTTTGTGGTCAATGAAGGCAAAGGAGTTCATTGTCTGTGCAAAATTTCTGTGTTTCTTATGATTTATTGATTTAAAAAAAACAAGCACGCATACAAAAGAACAAAGAAATCAAACAAACAAAACAACTAAATATACTAAACAACTAAAATAAGTAAACCAAACAAATAACCAATGAAAGAAAAAGCAATCAAAACCTCTCAAAAAAATAGTTTTAATATCGTTTTATTTGTTTTCAGTCCAGTCAATGGTTTAAATTTAGGAGCGATTTGTTCGAGTGTCACACAAAACAATCAGAAACTGTTTATGATTCATCTGCTGAAAGAGTCAATAACCAAAGATGCACTTTATTGTTTCCTCTACAGATCAGACGACTAAATATCTTGTTAACAATCTTAGTTATGGTGTTTGATTTGAAACCAGATAAATTTGGGTTTCAAATTTAGTTTCATATTTATTCTCATTATCTTCCTAAAATCGTATTCGTTAACAGCGTTTAATAAAATCTTAAGTAATGAATTAAAGATTAAATATTTTGTACTACCTTCATCATTCCAAGTGTAGATTGTAAAAATAAATGTTATCTTCAACGTTATTTTTAATCTAAATTTAATGATTTAGTTATTTAAAATAACTAAATACTAACAAAACTACATTTATGCAGTGAAAATGAGCAACATGTTTTCCTCCAGCTCGTCCAAAGTGAGGATTTGCTGCTGTTGTTTTTTATTCTGCTTTAAATTATAATTTGAGTCTCAAACAAAGAAACTAAAAGAAGAATGATGTTTCAGTGAGAGGGAACTGACGCGTCGTCTTCTGTCCTGAGCAGGAAGATAAACGGGACGCCCTGCATCGTCACCAAACCCTGCCGGGACACCATGACCCGCTTCGGCTGTCCACACTACTCGCTGTCCCACCAGCTGCTCTACTTCATGATCGGAAGAATGGTGAGACGGTTCACTCCACTTTGACCAGTTGGTAATAATATTGATATTAGTGTACGATATCTACAGTCCTTCTTCAATGTCTCAGACACTCCAGATATGAGGCATGAAGATATGAGGCATGAAGATATGAGGCATGAATTAAAACACTTAAAGCCTTCATTTGATTCAGTCTTATGCATTTAGTTTGTAGCTGGAGGCGATCAGATTAGCTTAGCATAAAGACTGGAATTAAAGGGAAACAACTTTGAGACCATAAACTCATGTTTACAATGTTTACTGAGGTAATAAATCAAGAGAGAAGTAGAGTCATTTTCTCATAGACTTCTATACAACCAGAGGAGTCGCCCCCTGGTGGACACTATAGAGAATGCAGCTTTAACACTTGAAGCTTCAGTTTCACTCTTCAGAACCGGAGGTTGCTGTCTGGTTTTATCTGCATACACAGTTGCTGGTAGATGTATCTCTGATGTTTGGAGGTTTCCTCCTGCTTCCGGTCTTGATGCTAAGCTAAGCTAACAAGAGTGGTGTCGATGTTCTTGATGATCGATCGCCCTCTTTACGACCTCGCCTCCTCCAACTTTCTGAGACGCTGACCTCTTTGTGTTTCTCAGAGAGGCTGCACCAACCTGCTGAAGGGCGACACTCGAGCGTCCCGAGCCAACATGACCGAAAGCAACTACCAGAAGATCTTCTGCTCCAACATGATGAAAACCAACCAGGACATCATGAGGGATGGTCTGACCGAACAGACGGTGGACATCTTCATGGAAAACAGTGGGTCTCTATCACCTCTCTCTCCTCGGACTATTCTCCTTCTCTTTCTTTGTAGTTTGTATTTCAACACGTGTTCCTAAACATTTTGTACTGATTTCAAACTGCATATGTTTTGCATATTATGCTCGTCAGTTAAGAAACTTGTATCTCCAATTCTGGCAATCGTCATGCTTTCAAAACAGATTTTGGAAGTCCTTAAACTCATAAAGATCTTTGGATAATCTGATAGCCAAGTCTCACTTCATTAAACTGTTGTTAAGGCTGCAACCAATAATTATTCTGATTAATCATCCAATTATACTTTTAATTAAAGGTACAGTGTGTATTATTTATTGTTTATCAGCAGAAATATAATATTCATAACGTTGCTTTCATTAGTGAATAATTAATCACCTGAAACTAACAATTGTTGTGTTTTCGTGAGCTTACTATAAGTCCTTCATATCTTCATAGGGAGCAGGAGGCGGAGTCCGCCACCATGTTTCTACTGTAGCCCAGAAGGGACAAACCAAACACTGGCTGTAGAGAGAGACTTTTTGCGTTATTTCATGTTACCTGAAGGCACCGTAGTTCTGTACACACTGAAGGGAGGAGTGAGCGAAGGAGTGTTCAGTTGGTTGTAAAGTGTAACTTCACCACTAGATATCACTCAAGCCTACACACTGCTCCTTTAATGGTTTGTCTGTAAAATGTCAAACAATCGTAAAAACGTAGAAAAGGTTGAATCAGAAGCTAAACAGCTTTTATAAATATCTCTAAAAGGATCCAGCAGGTGAGTGAAGGTGTTGCTGAACGTCTCGGAGTGTGTCGACTGACTTGAGTTGCGCTTCTCTCCGTCCACAGTCCTGATTTGTGGACTGAGCGGTTTCTCCGACTTCTACAAAGCCGATTGGCTGCAGCACATCCTCCGGCTGCAGGACGAGGAAGTGGGCTGCTTCGGGAGAGACAGTGAGTGTTAGAAAACAACAACAGAGGATTTAACATGTGGTGTGAAGGAAGACGTGTTGGTTCCTGAGCAGGCGTCTGTAGACAGGCTGAATGAGATGGAGGTCATCACCTGGATGAAGATGGAGATGAAGAGTTGATCTTCTCTGTTTGTGTCCTCAGAGAGCATCATCTCTCAGATCATCGGAGACGAGCTGCTGGAACAGATGCAGCCTCACAGGAGAGTGAAGAGGAGGGAGAAAATACTCCCAGGTAGTTTGTGACACATCTACTGTGATGTGATATGATATATGATCCACTTCTCTATTTTCACTATGTGTACTTCTTACTGTTGAATCAGAAGTCATTCTACTGTTGATACTAGTTTACTTTCATCTCAGTGATAGTTTGAAGGCAGAACTTTGACTTGCAATGAAGTGTTTTTATGCTCGTTGTCTGTAACGTATTCTCTCTCTGTTGTCGTCTCAGACGGCTGCTCCAGTCACATGACGGCGGTGGCGGTCGGTACTCTGGGAGGATACCTGAACTACTACCTGACCGAACAGGACATAACGAAGAGGCCGCTCTCCTGAACCCCCCCCCCCCCTCCCCCGTAGAGACGGCTGGACCCCCGACACAACATGTTGCTTCATGAACACGAGTCGTAAGATGATGACGATGCGTAATAAAACGCTGGGATGTTGCTGTTTGGTACAAAATATAGACCTTTATTTCTTTTTCATTCTGTAATCTATTATTATCCTCAGGTGTGAAATCTGACCAACAGCTATGGATCGAATAATCCCAAACAAGGATAGTAGTGGTTCTCAAATCCAGCAGATTATTAACTCTGTGACGCTGCTGTCGTCTCCAGATACAGTCAGTTGTTTGACCTGTGGTTCAGTAATCTAGCTACAGAATTTATTACGTCTTTATAAATGAAATCAGGGTAAACCAACGCTTCATATTCTGCTTTTTGCCACACGGTTTATCTGAGTAATGGTTGAAGGGATAGTTAGTGACATCTGGAACTGTGATTTCATCTCCTGGTCGCTAGTTTTTGTCTGAATTTGATGTAAAATAATTTGATCTCTCTCCTCTGCTCGGTGATGATTCACAGAGGAGAGAGATCAGAAGTCAAGACGGAGCCTTAGGGCCATTGTAGGTTAAAGAAAAGAGAAACAAACTAACTTAGCCAGCAGAAGGAGGTAATATTCAGAGAATTTAGGAGATTAAAGTTGTAAATATATGAGGAAAAAAACCCTCAAATCATCCTGTTTTCTGACTTGGCCCCAGTTCACCTCAAAGTCTGGAGGATGTATCGAACCTTAAAAAATGAAGCGCGAATTTAGTAAATTTGTGAGTTTTTTTCTTGTAAATTCACAACTTTATTCTTTGAATATTGTCCCCCGGCTCCCTAATAATACAATATACAGTCGTATAATTAGTGTTCAGTGTAGTTAGAGGTTCTTACAGGTCGGTTCTGCAGGACGTCTGTAAAAAGGCTTAAAAAGAGGTTCATGATATTATCCATTAAAAGCATCGTATTTATCTAAAAACTAAAACATCATATTAAGACAAAAATAACGACTTTATTTCCTTTAACTTATGTTTATCTACTAAATATAAAGACACACTAGAGGCCACTGTACAGAGACCAAAGAGTAACTATGCATGAACTATGAATGTCACATACAAAACGTTATCATGTATTTCATATTAGCATCAATAAACAACCAGTCAAACTCTGAAGTCTGCTGTACTTACACACGTTATCCTCAATAAGAGAACATCAGGGATTATGAATGTAAATCCTCTCGGCTTAGTTACACGACTGAATGTTAAAGAGTCTGTGAAGTGAAGCAAGAGGCCACGAAGAGAGAAACAACACTAACTGATTATGTAAGATGTCCTGGAGCTCCAGTTCAAAATGAAAGCTTCCCCTGTGGTGTGTGTGTGTGTGTGTGTGTGTGTGTGCTGCTCGGAGGAAGTCACAACGTGGAAATGTTTTTGATTCATAGAAATATAGAGCTTGCACAGCAGCTTTATTATGTGTGTTGACCGTCTCTTGATCACAGTCAAGTTCAAATACCGTCAGTGATGATGTCACTTATTCCAGCCAATGACGTCGTAGAACAGCGCCTTGAGCAGCCGAGCCTCGTAGGTGACGGTGTTCTTGCCGATGTGGACGCGGGTCTCCTCCAGAGGCTGCTCGATGATGGCGGGAACCTCCCGACCGTACGCTGCCGGAGAGACAAAGGACTCAACATTAACAACGGTCCGCCATTGTTAAAGTGTTCCTGATCCACAAACATGAAGCTGGCAGTAAATATCTAAAGGGTTTAACCTCTGGAGAACAGGGGCGTGGCCTCCAGTACATTACATTCAGTGTCAACAAACAGTAATAATAATAAAAACAGGATTCTTTCCTGCAGACTTTACTGAATGTTTAGTTTGGATCTCGTAATGCAGCAACGATTCTGGAGTGATTCCCTCCTCACGTCCCTTGATACCTGCAATATCTTTTCTTTTTTTGATGTTTCACCAGTTCAGTGACGGACAGTTTGATTAAATAATCACATATGACAACAGCAGCTATTTGTAACTCTTTTACTCAGGTTGCTGGAGTTTAAACGTCCCAAACAGCACAAAGATCAGCAGTGAGCTGCTAGCATTAGCCTTCAATATAACAGTGTAGCTAGACCGGCTGTTGTACAATGAGTAATTTGTCTGTGTCTGTGTGTGTGTGTGTGTGTGTGTGTGTGTGTGTGTGTGTGTGTGTGT